ATGTGTGGTAATAACTAAAATTTGCAATGCCTTTAGAGGTTGTGAATTCATACCAAGAGGTATAGAACATTTCAAATTGCTGTGCTCTGGCTGCTTGAGAGCTTTTGTTTGTGAGCCAAAGAACTATTGAAATAGTCCAGAATGGTTCTTTAATCTTCTGGTCGTAGCACAATAGACAATTGTCTGAAACATCTTCCCAAAATTTTGATCACTGAAAACATTGACCAGATTTGTATGTCCCTATTTGCTATGTTAGCAAATAAAACCTATTTTTATAGTCTACTCTGATGAGACTATAAAAAAAGAAAAGATAATAAAATAGAAAGACATTTAGAAATCACTGACAATGTCAATTGCCTGGACAACTGCATGACTGTATAGTCCAAGATGGAAGACTGGTAACAATAGAGTAAAGCAATATGACACACTTTAAAGCTTCCTTTGAACTAGAAGTTTCACAAATAACAGCATCCGTGTCAGACAAGTTGCAGCTCTATGTGTCCTGTCAGCCATTTACTGGTAGTTCACAAAGAGGTCAAAATGTTTGCAGAGGTTGTTATTTTAGGAAGCAGAGTAGGTATTTGTTTTTCAGCTTTAATAACCATGAATTTGTCACTAAAGGACAGTAATCTCTTGAAGTTAAAAGGCATAGGTACTAACACCTAACTGTCCTTTTGTGAGGCTCTCCAGCCAATTATTCTGCTAACACAGATAAAAATGCTTTTAGAAACTTTGGAATACTTGTTTGATAGAATCTGTAATAATTAAATTATTCTCATTCTTCAACATTGCAAAATAGGACAAAACCATCTTATTATTAAAATTTCAAAAGCAACTTTTAATCAATCCCTCTGCTTTCAGCAGACTTCCCATTTTTTAAGCATCTTGAAGAGGTTGGCTTGACTGCTTAATGGGTCGTAAAGTCCAGAATATTGCCTTTATTATATGAGTCTTTATTGGGGTGGAAATGAAAATTTAACCATATTCCAACAATATTTCCAGCCTGGGGAAAATCAGGAGATAATTTTCCTACTGTTGGGGCTGGCATTTAAAAAAAAAAAAAAAAAAAAAAAAGAATCTGAAAGAAACCTTTTAGGAAATCTTCATGTGAGAAGGTACATTTCACCACCCCCTGACCACCTAATTGTTCAACCCAGGGGAGGCATGATGCTCATTACTGTCCTTGCACTCATGTTTTGTGCTGAGGGATATTGGAGCACAGGGTAGTTTCTGCAGCCAATGATCGAAATCAGTGGCCATGCTGATCCAGCCATGGGAACTGCAGTTCCATGTCAGTGTGCAATCAGATGGTGCAAATCCTACAGCACAGGACACAGGAACAGCATTGGAGAGGGATGGGAAATGGTATCTGTTTTTCAGATGTAATGGGGGGATAGCACTTGGTTAAAAATTACTTTTTCAGTCCAATAGTTGATCTTGTCATACAGTGGGTGACACTTAGGAAAAAAGGAAAGTGAAATTTGCAGGAAGAAAGAAATTTGGATGTGAAATATATGAAGATGTGATGCCTTGGGACAACTTTAACCACACAAAAGCTGAAAAAGCAGTAGCACAAAAGTGAAAAAATGGTTGCATTTTGCAGGTGGAGTATATGACATGAGGACTAAATGCTTTTGAAAAAATCAATATTCACACAGTGGAAGTGCAATTTTACTCTTGAGGCAGTCAGCAAAGGAGCACTTCAAAAGCTGCCTTGTATAGAACCTCAATTTAAGAAACAAATTCGAAACTAAAATGGCAACGTGGCTTCTCTCAGACAAACAATGTGGTTCCTTTGGTCTTCTATTCTGGAGTAACAGAAAGACTAACGTGCAATATCCTACTGTAATCAGTTTCTTAAACAAAATTAAGTCAGATATAAGGTTAAAATTACACCTCAGCAGCAGAATAAAGGGTAATTAGGAGCAGTTAATGAGTGAATATGAGGTATCTGAACTTTGTCTAGCAAGAAAGACAATTTAATTTCATTTACATTTTATTTACATTTCCTTGGTAGGCGGCTTTTTTGTGTATATTAGAGCAGGTAACTGTTACTCAGACAAGGTACAAGAGACTGTAACTCAGACAAGATATAAACAAAACCTTTAAAAAATATTGTATATTAAGACATTCCAATTTAATGAAAAGATCAATTAACTTTCCCAGTTTTAATCTTAAAACATCCTGAAGCTGTAACAGTCAAACAAAATTTCAGTGACATCTGTCTCAACAAAAAGCATTTAATAGGAAATACCTTTATGTACAACTGAGAAGAAAGACAAGGTAATGATTTGAAGACCTTTTCCACATTATATTTCTAAAATTATTTACTTTTAAGTTCTCAGTCTTCACTCTATATCACTAGATTATTACTATTGCATTGTTTAAAAAAAAAAATGAACCAACACAATAAGAGTTTTTTTATTTACGGAAATGTCTGATTTGTTATATACACCACATTGCTATGTAGTAGTTTAAAAACTGACATTCTCTAGGTGTGGAAATTAAGCAGAAAACCAAAACCACATATTTTTGACACTTTGTGTACTGCAGAATGACTCTACAAGAACTTTGTGCAATGCTGATTCTGTTCGCCACTTTCTGTTTAATTTAGAAGGGCTCATTTCCATGGACTGCTGGGCAAGCTCAGTGTAGGATCTGCAGGCTGAGTCCTGTTATTCTGAGAGTCACCACACCCAATTATCCATCCCCCAGCTGCAATAGGATTAACAATTCCGTCAATGGCTTACACGTGGTGCTGTGTTCCCCGGAGCAGAGCCACGCCAGCTCTGCCACGCCAGCAGCGCACCCAGCGCCGCGGGCAGCAGGACCCCTGCTCACACAGCCACCGATGTCTTGGCTGTCCCTTGGCTTGGTGGCATCCAGTGGCAGTGTGGCCATGGCAGCACAGGCTCTGGCACAGCAGTGACACCTTCCTGGGGGCTCAGATGGTGCTGCAGGCCTGAGGGCAGCTCTGCGCTGCCTTTGCCATAGTGTGTGACGGTAGCCCACTACACCAGGCCGTATTCCCAGTCTTGGTAACTTTAGGCTAAATCAGCAGAAACACATTCATAACTTTGTCTTAAATGAAGAATCATCCTAGGGAAGGATAGGTGGGGGGATAGGACTCAATACATGAACAATTCTCTAGGCACAATTATTTTATATTTCTCTAAAGGGCTAAGTAGTTGCTGATTTAAAAGGACACTCCTTCTATTCTGTTATAATATTCCATTATCTCTGATGATCAGGAAAGCTGTTTAATCATTGTTTTTTCATTCTCAATTGAATATATAATAATACGCACTTCATCAAACAAAACCATTAATGGGATCAATAGAAACAGTCAGTAAATAGTAAAACTTTTGACCGTTATAAACACAAAGTTACTCTGAGTTTATGAGTGGCTAAGTTCACTTTTACACTTAAAGGCTGGTAGGGACTTGAGTGGTTGTTGATGAACACAAGTATGGTAAATTAGTACAGATCAGGAAGAATGATAAAGATTGGCATAGAATGTGCAACCATTTTTGTGAATGTGGAGTTATGGCTATGATTGGTCACTCTGCAGCAGATATACAGTCTAACTTGCATGAGCATTTTTGTCTTGTTCATTTCCCTGTCTTAAAATGAGCAAAATAACTTACTATTTCTACATGTAAAAATAATTTCTGAGGAAAGGCACTGAAATGCTATTTTGAAATCCTATTGAGATATATCTGAAATCCTATTTAGATACTGCACAGTCTTTCAGAATATTTCCCAGTGTAACATTCCTTGCAAGAGAGCAGAAACAAATGATCTGTGTAGCTCATGAAAGACAGTTCTTCTAAAACTATAAAAAAGGGACCAATTTAATGACTAAACCTGGACACCCTTCTCTTCTGCAGTACTACACAGGTCTGCCATTTTACATTATGATTTATTTTCTACATGTGGCTGAGTACTATGTTGTGATCTCCAAGAGTTCAACAAGCCACTGATGTGTTGGGTAGATTGTTGTGTTGATGTGTTGATGTGTTGACAATTCATCTTGAGGTACTATTTTTCTGAAAAGGTTACCAGTAGCAGCCCATCAGATTTCTGTATACACAGAAATGCCTGTATATAAAGAGAAGGAAAAATATCTTTCTGCTATTTACTATATTTGCATATAGTGCCATGCAGAGTGGCACAGATTTAACATTCATTTAGCACTAATGTATAACAAAAACTAATATCCATTGTATTTTGTTAAGATCAAACCTGAATACTGTTGCATGATACTGTCTATGTTGTATGAGCTTACTGCTGATCACCAGTCACCTGCCAGTTCTATGTTTGATATTACTGTTAACAAGCTCAAATACCTTTGTAATCTTTTAGTTTCTGAGGCAAATGTACATTTTCCCTACAAATCACCTCTAGTCCAGTCCCATCCTTTCAGGCTTCCCAGCCCAGCAGTTCAGCAAGATGCGTGTTTGTTTGCACAGCTGCAACACCACTTTGTCTTTTGATTTGATAATCTTATCTATCTATTTACTTAGAAAAGAAAAAAAATAACATTTGTCAGTTAGAAGTTCTTGTAAACAGGCTAGGCCCCAAAAGAGACTTGTACTATACAGATAGCATGCAGCACATTCTGTCTCCTGTTTAATCTTTCATGAGCTCAGTAATCATAGGCAAGTCACTAATCTCTCTGCTTTCCTTTCTGCACTGGTGAAACAGTTGTGGTAAGAATATTCTATGAGGGTTTAGATGTCTTTTCTAAGCTTTGTGAAACTTCTGGACATGCTGGAAATTTTGTACAAGTTGAAACTGAGGACCGGGATAGCAAAGCAGAGTAAAATTAATACATACCAAGACATAACTTCTATTCTGTATCAGGGAAAAACTTCATTTCAAAAGTTCAGGCAGTGTGGTGACAAAGGCAGTTTAGATAGCAGGAGGGACCAGTTCCACAGCTGCTCTGTGGTAGCATGTCACAACAACACCATATCTTTGTCCCTTTGCTCTTGCAGTATCGGTCAGGGCGGGATCCTCACCGAGGCTCAGACAATGTTTCCAACAAGTCTTCGGACAGTGATGTCAGCGACGTCTCGGCCGTGTCCCGGACCAGCAGCGCTTCCCGCTTCAGCAGCACGAGCTACATGTCTGTGCAGTCAGAGCGCCCAAGGGGAAACAAGAAAATCAGGTGAGCATGCTGAGCTATGGTGTCAGCCATAGCTGTGTCATTTTAGTGATGGAACACTTATCAATATTTGTATTTGACATTAGCATTTCGCCCAGATGGACATTTGCAGGGATTTTGCAAAATTCTGGCTTAAATGTCTTTTTTACCTAATGCTTCTTGAAGTCTTAATGGAATTTGTTTTCAGCCAAGTTTTGTTGTTTTGGATTATCTAACATACACTGAAACAACAAACATATGCTGTCAGCAAGCATTAGACACGCTTTCTGAAAACCATTTTGTAAAATATACTTAATATGGCTGAAAAGACAGTTTAACTCTAAAATTTGTGCCAGCAGAGGCATCTTATTTTTCTTTTCAATAGAACATTGAACTTTTATAGATGTATTATTTAATACTTACAGAGACCAATTCAATTTATTTAATACTTACACTAGTCTGATTCAACTGTAAGTGTACAATCATTGAGCTGCTCTTCAACAAGATGAACATTGTGTATCTGTGACCAAAACACAGCATTTTCTTTGCCTGCACCCTGTTTGCCCTCAGAGGAGCTTTGGGTTTCATTTGGTGCACAAATGAAAGATAATTTTTCTAGAAGGTGTAGCCCACCTCCATCACCTGTAGTAATTCTCAGAAAATTGTCCTCTTAAAAGAAAGCATTTGCAAATTTAAGCATCTGCTCATATGAGCATTGTTAGGACCACACTGTTTCTGTCACACATTTCTTTCTAAATGTGAGGTATTGCCATGCAAATTTTATTTGAATAAGGACTTACTAAGAAAATGCTCCAAAGCTCTCTAATGTAGGCTGGACTCCTAGCAAGTATGACGTACATTATGTGTGCTTCTATTCCTTTGTTTTTATTTCATTTCTTTTGCATTTCCTTTCTTCATGCATGCTCTTCTCCTAACTTTAATTTATTCTTTTCTTTTTTCTTTTTGCATGCCTTTTCAATTTTTGTTGACTTCAGAAGGACAAGGGATATAGAGGGGAAAAAAGAGGGAGGGCTGGAAGGGGATGAACAAGATGAAGTATTTCCTGAGGAGGAAGAAAAAGAGGAGGAAAAAGCAAAAGAGCAAGAAATTAATGAAAAAGGGGAAGGGCAAGAGGTGACAGAGAACTGTGATAAGGAGGAGATCAAAGAATCAGGGCATGATGAAAAAGCTCAAGACCAAGCTGAGGAAGGGAAAGAGGATGACAGGTAAAACATATTTCTGTTTATGTAGATCTATTCTTTTTCCTTTACCAGCACCCTATTTGTCTTCCCTTTTTATTCCCTTTGCTTGCTTATTGCCTATGCTCTCTGCAGCTCTTTTTTTTTTGTTTGTTTTTGCTTTCAGTCATCATGCTTTCATATTTAATCAAGTTTCATTCTCAGCTTCAATGAACTTGTTCTGCATACCAAATGAGGCAGCACACCAACTTGACTCATTGATATGCATACAACTGCAGCATATTATTTTTTAAATTAGTTTAGACTAAAGTTTGGGTTTGACTGTAATAAACAGTAGAAATTGTAAGCATCTTTATTAAATTTCCTACTGGAATTATTATTTAAAGGAAAAATTATTTGTTAAGTGAAAACTCAGCAATATCAAAATTATCTTTACTTATATTTATGGCCATACTAAAGAAGAAAAATTGGATTTTTTTTCTAGTCCTCTTTGTGCATACTGATTGACAGTCATTGTGGGTAAAGCAGAGTCTTCCTTTTTCTTTTTTTTTGTTCCATGTGAATAACTGTCAAGGATTGCTGTATTGTGGAAGGGTCATGCACTTCAGCTGCTGTGTTGTATCCAGAAACATTGCAACACAACTGGCTCTGGTTTTATCAGAAAATATTCTAGAATTATACATTTTGCCCCAAATCCTTAAAACAATGTAAATGTCTGACATTTTGTATTGCAGAATCCATGTGTGTTGCACTGAAAGAAATACAACATTCCTCTTTTCTTCATTAGAAATATTAGTTTCAGATTTTATGAATATTCTTGAACTCATTCTCAGTCACACAAGACTGGCAGAAAATCTCAGAAAAAATACATTTTTTTTAGCCTGAAAATTCTGCACTACTTCTAAATAACTTATGCCTGTAAAATTGTGCTGATATACATTAGGGTAAGCACAGAGCAATCCATGGAAATCCATTTTCTTTCCTTGCTACACACTTACACATGCGCATACTTGTATATACTCACATACATAACATACTCAAAACAAAGGGGATTCAAAGAGAGAGTAAAAATGACTAGTGTAGTCTGGGTGATATGAACTAATATAGCCATACTACTGCCTTTATGTATTTTTGCCAGCATTCCTTCACTTATGTTCATGCATTTTAGATTTTAGCAAAAAACAGTTGTTTAGAACCAGCTGTCTTTAAGAGTGCCTTAGCATATGTGTTCCAGGGACTGTTGTATGGTAGTGTGTGAAAGAATTATTTAAAGACTTTTTTCTCTTCAATTTCCCACTAATTTCCCAGTCTAATAGATCTGAAAGTCCTGCCTTTCAAAAGCATGACTCTGTTCCAGGTTTCTAGATTCTGCTTAAGCTGGTCTTTAGCCAATATGCTGTCTCCCTTAGAAAGTAAAGCCCTTTTTGAGAAACAGCTCCTCGTTTCCTGAGCCAGCTTGTTCTTCTGGTTGCTAGCTGCTCTCTGCCTTCAGGAAGAAGTGACACAAGTCAGGAATCTCTATAAAGAAACAAGATGTTATTAAGTGACTGTTGTGTAGTGACTTTTGTTTGTGTTAGATTTTAGTTCCCTTCATGGAAATCAGACTCTAACGTTATTTCCCCACTTTGCACATTCTGACCATTTTTAGTATGCAAGTTGTTAATTAACAGAAAAGTTTATATTCGCCTCCTTTACTATGGTAGAGTCAGTGCTCATTTCTTAACATTGTCTGAGCATTTTTCTAGGGTAAGAATGAAACAGAAAAGCCAGATTGATTCCTGAACAGGGGCAGCTATAGATATGTATACACATTTATATACACACATAGCTCTGTCTCATTAACATATTGAAATATTATGACTTGTGTATTCAGTGGACAAGCCTGAAGGCAGGATCAGTTGTCAGCATTTTTGAAAATTCAGTGCCTTCTGCTCATTTCTCTGTCAATTTTTAAAATAACAGACACTTGGAAATTTTTAAGATAAGGTAATGACTTCAGCTTCCAAAAAATAATGTTTTCAGACACACCACAAATATTAAAAGTAACCAAACATATCAATTAAACATATCAATAGATATTTGAGAGACCCAGCAGAACAAAGGCAGCCAATTCTTCCTTGATAGAATAGTAGTAAATTATTGTGTAGTTCTTGAGATCTTGGGCATCGAGGAAAGTTATATTGCAGATGGGAGTTTTCAAGATATTTTTTACTTCAGAGGTGCATCTGTAGTTGGGCAGCAGCCACCTTTCCTCCAGGCACTGTGGAATGCAGGGGCTGCTCACAATCACTCCATCATCAAAAACTACCTCATACCTCTTGATGTTACTGTGTTTATGTACTTCAGGAGTAATGGTAATAGTCCCACTAAGGTCTTCAATCTGCTGAGATCATGGGTGGATTGAAATGACTGTAAACACAGACGTTCATCACTAATTCATCCCATACCTATTTCAAAGAGTACCTTGGCACAATAAAAGGCATTAGCTTTTGGAGCACTGGAGTACATTAAATCAGTTAATTTTTTGGCAGAAATAGTTGCAGCATCAGATTTTGCCTTAATTAATCCTTGTAAAACTAAACTTTGGCATATGCTTGACTTGTAGGGAAATCGTAATTGTGTTCTTTCTCTGCAGTACATGTTAGCAAGCAAAGGGTGGCTCCAGCTTTGCTGTTGAGTATTTTTTATGTAGAGTTCCCCAACTTTTTTTCTTATTGCATCTCCTTGGTAATCTCAGGGCCAAAAATAAAGGCTTCTTAGATATAGTCTTTGATCATTAATACTTTTAATTGAAGGTAATCTGTTTAACACTGCCCTAAATTTTATTCCTTCTTAATATTTTTTAAAATATAAACCCCAAGCATTAATTCTGATAGTCACAATAGTTTTGTTATACCATGTGAGTACACAGCAAATGTGGTGACAGAGCAGGATTTCACTGTTGAAATACAGTAGAAAAATAAAACTTCTTTTCCAAGTGCACGGAGTATAAATCATGAAATAACATATGAGTCCTGAGAGGGAAGCACTGAAGAAAAAAGAGATCTTCTACAGGATATAGATACAACACAGTGTTGGGGACATCTTGACAACAGAGAATGAATGCTAAGAGGATATTTGAGGAGAGAAAATAAGATATCTTTGTGAATGTTTCTTGAGAGCTGTTTTCAAGTATTCAAGACAATGAGGACAAAACATGAGGTGCTTGCTAAAAATATATCAAGAGCATGAGGGGCAAGTTGGATGATCAGTTATCTTTCAGTCCTGAATGAGAGACGATAAATATGATAAGGAACAAGTGCCAAGATACTATGAAATAAAGATGAATTATGTACAACTGTGTAAAATAGAGTGCAACTTTTTACTGATATGTGGAGGAAGATGAGACAACCAAATAGAAAAGCTATGAAACTTATCTCTTCTCTAGTATCCTGGAAGGGGTTATTGGGTAAATTGCCAGGACTGGAGAAAAGCACTGCAGTATCTGTCATTTGAAATGGTGAGAGAGTGGACAAAGAAATTGTCTATGCTGGTGCACAGAGAGGGCAGAGATGGGAACAAAAAGCATGTGCAAGTCACAAAGTTTTGCTATGTATTTGGAAGGAATTAGTGATATCTCGTTTGAGGAAAGAAAGTGAATTCTAAAAGATGATATAAGGAATAGAGCTGATTAACTAAGAAGATGACACAACCAAGAAAGGAAAATTTGTAGTGGAAAAATTCAGCTGGGATGTAATTTTGCAGAGCACTTAAACATTCAAAAAACAGAGTGCAATGTATGGCTTTAATTAATGTATTTCTTCAGACGCAAAACTGTATCTCTTT